TGAAGGGACAGCGCCCGCGGCGCGGCCCGGCCCGGGGGGGGCTCTCCCGGCCGCGGCCCCCCGGCCCCCCGCTGTCTCGCTCTCTGCCGCTGTCCCCCGGCGCAGGGACGCTGCCAGCATGGGCAAGAGCGGGGAGGCGAGGGGCTGCTGCTCTGTCTCCTCCTCTAGAAGCCTGCATTCAGCCGGAGCCGCCTTTGGCTGCGTCCCCTGATCCCCCGCAGGGAGGGACTGGGGGGCTTCTGGCATTGCAGAGGCTTAATTGACTAGCAAGGTCACTAATTTCGGCTCCTGGAGGTAAGTCCTGGTTGACGGCTCATTTTCCTCTCTCCCTCGGTTCTCACACCCCTCTCCCATCTGTCTCCCTCTCTCATTCTCTCTCCAGTGCCATCAATCAACCCTTTCCCCCCCCTGAAGAGGGTCTACCTGAGTCATGGCACCAGCGATGCCCCAAACCCCAGAAAGATGAGTCAGCACGTTGCCCCCCACTAACCCACCCGCAATCTCATCTGCTCCCCACCCTCCGGCTCTGCTGCTTTGAGAAAAGTGAGGAACAATAGGATTCCCAGAGCAGTCCCCGACTCCACCATTACAGGGCCAGGAGAGGAAGGGGAGAGGGTGGTGGGAGGAATTTTTTTAGGAATCCTTTCTCCCCTGCCTTGGGAACACGCCTCCCGAGCAGCCGGGGGTGAGGGGGATGCTCGGTCCCCATCAGTGCCATGTAGCAGCAGCAGCACTATAGCTGGGAAGGGGCGGGGGGAGAGGGTGTGTGTGCAGGGGGCTGTTACTCCAACCTGATCGAGTCCATTTGCCAATTCAACAGTCGCATCACTTCCGGATCGGTCCTCAGTTTCTGCTGCAGAGTGAGGATTTTCTTTTTTTTTTTTTTTTTTTTTTTCTTCTCCTTTTCCCTCCCTCCCCATCTGGATTCTGGGAACTTGAAACCTCCTCCCTTGATTGCAGCAGGATCTGCCCCAACCTTCCTTCAACTTTGCACTGCATCAAAGAAAACAGAACGAGCCACAGGCTATATTGTACCGATGGGGGCAGGGGATCTGCCAGGCACAGCCCTTTGCAGTTGATGTTGCCGTATCTCTAGGACCCAGAGCGATCTCTCGCTTTTCTTCTTTTTTTTTTTTTTTTTTTTTTTTTTTTTTTTCCCCTCTCCTCTTTTCGTGTGTGTGCGTGTGTGTGAGTGTGTGAAGGATCCTCCTGGTTACCGCTGTTACTATTTTCCCTTAGCAGGGAGACCACACAAGCCATGGCTGAGAGGAAGCAGTCTGGCCGGCAGGGCGAGGAAGAAGAAGTGCCAGCCTTCTTCAAAAACCTGGGCTCGGGCAGTCCCAAGCCCCGGCAGAAATTCTGTGGCATGTTCTGCCCGGTGGAAGGCTCCCTGGAGAACAAGACCATCGACTTTGACTCCCTCTCGGTGGGCCGCGGATCTAACAAAGTCGTGGCAAAGCAGAAGGATGTTGCCCACCTGGGTCCGGATGCTCCATCCGTCTATTCCAGGCAGAGTGGGAAGGGAGGGGAACCATCTGTTGATTTCGGGAGAAAGGTGGAGATCAGGAGTGCCACTGGGAAGGAGGCGCTGCAGAACCTGAATGACAAGGTGGGTGTGCATATATATGTGTGTGTGTGTGAGATGCAACTCGAACACGCGATAGGCTGCAGAAGGGATGTATCCTTTTGACCCTGCAGTTCCTTGCTTTTATGTCACTTGCATGTATGTGGCAGTCAACGTCTTCCCCTAAGCAGCATCTCTACTAGACCCTTTTTGCTAGACCTCTAATGTTATCTGTGTGCTCTCTGCAGGTGTGTGTGTATGTGCACGGGGAGGAGGGCGGAAGAAGAAAGGAGCCCCCTGCACCCACAAACACCCTGCCTTTCCCCACCCTGCCTTCCTGTTTGGTGATACTTGGTCCTATTTTTATTTCTTAGGCGATTCCCCCCAGCACAAGGATAGCAAAATGCCCCACCCAGCTAGTGAATGCAGCTCACGGGAGCAGAAATGCAATTGTTAGCAAAAGAGCATCAATGAGCCTCCACCTACAGGGATCAAATCCCTGCAGGCTTCTTCCAGGGGAAACTCCTACTCCCTCCTCCCAGGGGAAGACAGACTGGAGTGACCCCTGGGAGCTGTATTTCAGTACCAATTTTGATGAAGGCCTCTGGCTACAGTGGGAATTTTTGCCTCAGGAAGATCTGGGACTTTCACAGGAATGTGTCGTTCTCTTAGAAACCCACTGAACTCCTCCCAGTCTTTTAAGACTCCTGAAGCTATTTTCTCGCTCTCTGTATGTGTCATGGTGTAATACAGCCTATCCTCTTCCTCAGGCAAAACCCATTCAACCCATAGGTCTAGCTGACCATGCGCATTTACTTTCCTCGGTAAATAGATTTAAGCAAGCTCTATTCAGATCTGAGACATGAAATACTCTGTGCATTCCTCTGACAATGCTGGCTCCTGTGCATAGGCTGGAAGAGCAGAAGTGAATGAAGCACCAACCAGCACTGATAATCTTCTAGCATACT